AAAAAAAAAAAAAAATAATTAAAAAAAAAATACTTCAAAATGACCGCGTCAATCTGACGCGCATCGAAATTATCCCGTCGAAATGCCGCAACACCGAAATACCGAACTTTGGCGGACGTGATATCCACTTGCACCTGGTTAAGGAAAAACATCATGAAGTTTAAAAAAATTTGTGAAGCGTGTTTAGCATGAAAACATACTGGACTACTTGTTTGTGTTATAGACGATATTCACTGTCGAACAATTTAAAATTTTCGGTTCGGGTGCAACGAATTTATAAGACATATCGATACACAACCCAACAAGCAGCAGAAAACAGAACTAAATTGCATAAATGTTTTTTCATTCTCTCGTGTTTGGTAATGGGTTTGTGTTCTATACTTTCGTGAGCAGTATTTGTGGAGGCGGGAGCTGGGACGGACGTTTTTTCAGAATATATATCTGGTTTTTGATTTCTTTCTNATTTATAAGACATATCGATACACAACCCAACAGGCAGCAGAAAACAGAACTAAATTGCATAAATGTTTTTTCATTCTCTCGTGTTTGGTAATGGGTTTGTGTTCTATATTTTCGTGAGCGGTATTTGTGGAGGCGGGTGCCGGGACGGACGTTTTTTCAGAATATATATCTGGTTTTTGATTTCTTTCTTGTTCAATATCATGTTCTGTGATATCAACAGTTTCGGTTATTGAAATAGCAGGTTCTTGAATGGATATGTTTTTAGAAGACATAACTGGGTTTCTAATGTTTTCGGCGGCGGTATCCGGCTCTTTATTAGTGGTAGCGGTAATCGAAAAGTCGGGCTCAGCAGGGACGGACATGATATCGGCAGATTTTTCGGAGACGGTATCATTTATCGTGATATCATTGGAAACATTTTCGGGAATGGGTTCGTTGCAGGCGGCTGTGTTTGGCGAACAGTTGTCGCGTGTTTCTAGACTCATGGACGATGTACTGCCGGTAATAGCCGGGGATTCGCTTTCCGGGAATTTTGTTACCGGTGTCTGGTGGTCGGCGGCCGGTACCGTAGAAACGTATCGAGTCAAGGACACCACAATGGCGTAACCCAAGATCATTTCCGGACGGTACTCAATGACGAAAGTATGAATGAACCGCTCACCGGTCACGTCGACTAACAGGCCGTCGGACTGTCCGCCGCAGGGCATCGATGAAACCGATTTTATCACATAATCGGACTCGGACGTTGGCCGCATTAAAACACTTTTTACTTGGTTGCGGGTCCTGGCGACGACGGTCGATCCGTCCGCGTAGATCGTCCTGTACTCGCCGTTCACGTCGTAAAAATCGTGTGCGTATTCGGGCGACGATCGCATTACGGAATAATACAGTTGCGAGAATACGGAACCGATACGATCCGCGTACTCGGTGTACGACAACGGGTCTTGATTAGCTGTTGTAACGGTTCTGGAATTGTCATTGCTCTCGCATTTCGGGTCTGCAAATTCACTGCCGTTTTCCATTTTAATACATGTATGTATATATATGTAATATATGTATATATAATAATACCTTGTTCACAAAGTGTACCCGCGTAGAATGTGCAGTTATGCGCCTTTTTAACAATTCAATGTTGATTTAGTTATATTTTAAAATGGCGTCCGGATAATTGCCGTTAGGGTTTCCAATTTTAGTGGGGTTCCCAAAATCCTTAAATTATTTAACTTGTTATGAACAAAAAAAAAAAAAATCAACAAATCAACAAAGCATTATAAATTTATTGACTTTTTTTTGTATTATGGTAGGGTGGGGGTGGCGATGTGGCGCCATCGACCCGAGGCGGTAAACTNAAATTATTTAACTTGTTATGAACAAAAAAAAAAAAATCAACAAATCAACAAAGCATTATAAATTTATTGACTTTTTTTTTGTATTATGGTAGGTTGGGGGTGGCGATGTGGCGCCATCGACCCGAGGCGGTAAACTTGTATTTTTGAGAGGCTTGTATACAATAGGCGGTTTTATTTTGTTTTACCCATCACCAAATTAATGCCCAGAAGTGTAAGATTTCTTAACAATGCCCAAGGGCGGCGAAACTATAAATACCTCCGCTAGTATTTTTAAAAAAATGAAAAAAGCAAAATAAAAACAAACATTTATTTTTTTATTTTTAAATATAAATAGTACTAAAACAAAATATATTTTAAAATAAATGAGAAATGGCGTTTTTTTTGCCTATAAAGAATTTAATAATAGTCAAAAATATTAGAAAATAAAATGTTGCACAGTATACGAGTAGGTATAGATATTTCTTCATTTTTAATAAAAAATCCCGAAAGTGTTTTGTCTCACTTGGGTCTTTTAAAAATATTGTTAATGATATCGT